GGCACTGACCACATGTGGGATCTCAAACAACTAAGCTACGCACAGATGTCCACTTGGATATCAGAGCTGAAGTACAAATATCTCTTTCTAGCCTTTGTTATGACTCCAGAACCTTCCCACCACAAACGACATAATAAGATTCTGAGATGGGCAGCCCTTTCCATAGGACAACTGTGCTTTTAGTGTAAGTGAGAATTCGCTTCTCAAGACTGAAAAGACGAGAGCAGGGAAGAGAAACATAAACTCCATCTAGGAGATGTTTGAAACCCCTACACGAAACATGAATAGGAAAATGGAGAGTGCAGGAAAGCTAAATCACTCCGCAGAGCAGAGGAAGAAAAAATTTTAAAAAGGGGGTTACTGCTGAGAAGCAGGATGACTGCCCCTACAGAACCACAGGAAGGCTCAGAAGATGGGGTGATGCCTGTAGCTACGAAGGGGAGTGGGTATAAAAACCCACCTGAAAACAGTTAAGACTTTCAGGTCCTCTTCCTGTGCACTCAAGCAAGCACTGCTCTTCTGTAGCCACAGGAGACCACAGGTTCAGCCCTGTAAAAACTCCGCCAGAAATACATCACATTTGGGGATAGCAGACACAACAAAAGGCAGGAGTGAGCGCCTAGACTGTAAACAGAAAGATTAGGAAAAGGCTATCTACCGAACCATAGGAAGACCCCCTTCTTCCCCTTGCCCTTTAACCTCCTGAACATCTGACTTATACCGACAAGGCAAGAGATTGACCAATCCTCCTCCAAGAAAATCAAGCCATCCCAGAAATCAGACCAGAAGGCAGGAACACTTGCAGAGAGCCAACAAAAAAACAGCAGCCAATCATCCTCCTCCAAAGCAACAAGTAAACAAGGCCCCAAACACCCAGCTTTCCGTGTTTAGTACCTTATTCTTAAAGATGACTGAATGGCCAAAGATCAGCAGACACACTGGAAGAAGGTTTCTATCATGAAAAAGACATCAAATGATAAAGTAGCAAAGAAAATATAAAAAATGCCAAAAACAAGATAAAATTTTAAAAAATAACATTTTAATAATTTTATCTATAATTTAAAAACTTTAGGGCCGGCCCGGTGGCGCACTGCTACAGTGCGCCGCTTGGGAGTGCGGTGGCGCTCCCGCCGAGGGTTCGGATCCCACATACAGACCGGTTCCCGCTCACTGGCTGAGCGAGGTGCAGGCGCAGCACCGAGGGTTGCGATCCGTTGCCGGACACGAAAAAAGACAAAAAAAAAGGAAAAAAAAAAAAACTTTAACTGTAATTAAAAGAGAGATGAGCAAAGATATTATGTACATAAAGCAAGAACAGGAGGTACTAAGAAATGAACAGAACAAGAACACAAAAATATGATGGCAGAAGTTGAAAATTCAGGAAAAAAAAGTCAAAAATTATCTTAAAAAGAACAAGAAGAACAAGACATAACAAGGAGAAAATATTTTTAAAGGTTAGACGACTAGTACAAAAAGTTCAACATTCAATGAGAAGAATTGGAAAAGGAGAATATGGAGAAAAGAGCAGAGAATCAATCTTCTCAAATTCCCCACAATGAAAGGCGTCAATCTCCAGATCGCACAGATAGTCAGTCACCATGTATGATAAGTGAAAAAAGGCTGGCACTAAACACATAATGAATACTAGGAAAATTGATGACCCCAACAGTTTGGTGGTGGAATAGCACTTACAGAGAATTAAGAATCAAACTGGACTTCTCAACAGCAACAATGGAATCTAGAAGATTTTGAAGCCATGAGTTCAAAAGGACTTCCAACCTGGAATTCCATGCCCAGCCAAACTTATTCTTCAAGTGTGGTGGTAGAATAAATACTTTTTCACAAATGCAAGCTATAAAAGTTTGCCTCTCATTGCCTCTTTCTTGGGAAGCTACCGGAGACTACATTGCAAACCATGAGGGAGTAAACAGAGAGAGAGTGGCATGAGATGAAGGGAAAGATGGGGACAATTTCCGGATGATGCTGTGCACCAGGCCAACAGAACATGAATTCTGACTGGGGCACGGTAAACATGAGAGAGAGAGAGAGAATGAGAAAACTAAAATGATCACCCACCGTTAGTGGAAGTCCATGGATAATCCCTAAAATTGGTGAATAAAGAAATGACAACACAAGCATATATTTAGAAACATGAAGTAAATGCTAACAAGTTACAAGTAGCTACTGCCTCTCGGAAAGGCAGGAGGAGAGTGGCTTTTTTCAACATCTTTTAGCACTGATTGGCTTTTCAAATTATGTGCATGGGCACACATTATTTTAAAAAAAAAAGGATTAAAGGAAGAGATACATAGTAGCCATCATGCTACTAAAGCACAGATTTGCCTGGGAAGGCCCTGCTGCTGACACTTTGCTGGGACAGAGCCTTAACTGCACCACCCTGGGCTCTGATCCTCAGTGATCCTGCATATACATTTAAGCCCCAGGCGCCCCCCAGTTACTAACCCACAAAGTGGGGGGTGGGGGATGTATTCCACTACCTCAGCAGTTCTTTTTCGTGTTGACTACCTGTACAGATTAAGGAAAGGAAAGAACAAGTTTAAAGTGTGAGCTTTACAGGTTCAACCATTTGGCAATTAGTGAACCCTGACCCATCATCCATTTCCCAGATTTAGCTGCAAGTGATCCCATGCCTACCCACACTGTCCAGGGAGCCAGCAGTGGGGCAGGGCAGACACTGGGCCCCTCACCCTATCACGCACATCCATAATAAACTCTTAGAATCATGAATCTAAGAAGAGATCTTGTATTAACCTAAAACCACCACCGCAGACATAACACGGGCTCTGGAACCAGACCACCTGCGTCTTCATGTTCTCGGCCACAGGCTCTGTAATCTTGGGCCTCACTGTGCCCTTTTCCGCATCCGCAAATGAGGATGTATCAGTACCTACCTCAGAAGATCGCTGTCCGGCTGGAATCAGAGAACCCATACAACACACTCTGGCAGGATGGGACACGAGTTAGCACTCGATCAACACAGGCCGTCATTATCATTAGCTATATCGAGCCCTTCATTCAAGGCTCCCTGTGGGATCGAGACACGTGGGGCCCTTCGCTCACTGATAGTTTATTAAACGCCTACTATGTGCCTGACACCGAACAAGCGCTAGTCCTACAACTGACCAGGCCAAGTTATTCTACCCTTCCGAAACTCCCTTAAGTAAGAAATAACACCGGGCCGGCCCTGTGGCTCACTCGGGAGAGTGCGGTGCTGATAACACCAAGGCCAAAGGTTCGGATCCCACATAGGGATGGCCGGTTAGCTCACTGGGTGAGCGTGGTGCTGACAACACCAAGCTAAGGGTTGAGATCCCCTTACCGGTCATCTTTTAAAAAAAGAAATAATAACACCTGCTGCACAGGGCACAGAAAACTAAACCAGCTGCCTTATCCAACGGGCTTGGTCGGCGCCGGGACAGGGCAGGTGCTCCGTAAGTGACGCCAGCGACCAGCACCCATCTTCTCTCTACGAGCCTGGAAGTGACCTGGGGTTCTCTAGTTCCCCTTTGGTTCCCGGTGCCTAACACATCCCCTGCCCTGCTGCCTCGTGACGGCACCTCGCTGCGCCCCGGCTCCGGTCACTACAGGAACACTCGTGGGTCGCCGCGCTCCTCCCGGCCGGCCCGGCCACGCCACCTCCCGCCGCTCTTCCTCCGGCGCCCCGCGCTGCACGGCCGGGCAAGGGGACGGCCGCGCCCCCGACAAAAGAACGCGAACTTCCCGCCCCGGAACCCGCGCGGCTGCGGGCGCGACGGTCGGCTCGGTG